TTGGTCGGACGAGACTTCAGACGTCTGAGTTTCGAGCATGGTCCAACGATCTCTGACGCTGCGTTGGGCATATTATGGTTCACAGGGGAAGAAAACGAGAGTAGTTCGCCGTAGGAACTTGGGGTCAGAGATCCTGAAACTTCAGTCCGTCTCGTGGGGGAAAGCGCAGAAGCTGAGATCTCTGTTCCCCGCCCCCCAGCGCCGCGCGACGCGCCCACCGTGGCGTGTTCGACTTCTGCTGCCTCTCGCTTGACATGGAGTGACTTTTCGAGATCGCCGACCCCGACTTCGTACGGCGAAGTGCTCTCAGCTTCTTCCACAGTGGCCCGGAATATGCCGAACGCAGCGTCAGATATTTGTTCGGCCATCGTTCAACCCCCTCAATTATCATTTGTCCGAATCCCGAATAATGAACCGCTCGTTCTGTGTATGGCCTGAGATAGGACAAGGCCTGTCGGTAGATCGGATTGATAAACATATTGCGCTCCGCGCCCTGAATGAAGGCATTTGGGATGTCAATTTGATGGCACTTGGCCTTGTGCGTGACTGCTGCGGCGAGTACTAGCCGACAACTGGCAGGAGTGGCCATCGGACTACAGGACGCGTAGAGCGTACTCCAGACATCTTCAAAGCGCTAAACACAAACTGAAAACCAATGTCCCCGTGCCCATCCAAGAATCTTCTGGAAGAACCTAATGTGGCTGCGCCACGCACGCCCAACTTCGTTGGGCTTTTCGCTTTTTATTCAGATAAAATCATACTCATCCTCTTCTCTTCTTTAATTCGGGCACGACGCTCGCGAGCCTATTGATTTCGCATCAATCTCTTTTGTTCATTCTCTAATCTTTTTTCTTCGAACCAATCCTTACAAAACTTGGCTAGGTATCCAAGTAGTCCTAGAGTATCCCTTGAGCTGCTAGCATGATGGTCCAACGATCACTGACGCCGCGTTGGGCATGTTCTGCCTGATGGGGGGTAAAAAAATGAGTTCACTTTGCCGTTGGAACTCGGGGTCGGAGGCCTCGAAACTTCAGTCCGTGTCGCGGGGGAACACGTAGAAGCCGAGATCCCTCCTGCCCGGCCCCTCAGCCGCGCGACGCGCCCACCGTGGCTTGTTCGACTTCTGCTGCCCCCCGCACGACATGGAGTAATTTTATGAGACCATCGACCCCGACTTCCTGCAGCGAAGTGATCCCACTTTCTCCTTCCGTGGTCCGGAACATGCCGAACCCAGCGTCAGCGATCGTTGGACCATCATGTTAGCGGCTCAAGGGATACGCCAGGACCACTTGGATACCTAGCCAAGTTTTGTAAGGATTGGTTCGTTAACTTTATGCTCAGCGTTAGGCGGCTGAGTTCCAACCTTCTTTCTTCTCTTTCTTCGGCTTCAAAAGCACCCGTATATTTCTTACGCCAAAACACCTCCCTCTTTTTATACCACACTTTCCATAGTTCCTCAAGAAATGGTCTCCATTCTGGATCTAATTGCAAATAAGACACACTCCATTTCCCACACACGGCGCCTCTAAACCACTCCCTAAATGGTAGAAAAATCGTGATTTAGGACTCCTTTTGTGGATTTTTTTTTTGTGATTTAGGACTCCCACAATGGTATTAAAAGCCGTGCCCACGCGCGCGTGGTTAGGTTCAGCCGAGAATCCGTTAAGGGAAACATTAGCCTACTCCTAAATCCTGTGATTTTACTTGACCTTTTGTATGTGGCTACTTTGGTCAAACCCAGATTCTAGGATTCCTCTATTTAGGATTCCCATCAAGGTTCGGGCGGCGCGGGCGCCATGGGCGGGCAGCAGGACAAATTCGCCGTCGCGCCGGACTCGACTGCCGTGCTCAGCGACCACACGCCCATCTTCGGCTGCTTCGAGGAGGGCGCCAACGGTCTCAGCGTCGAGGAGGCCTGCGCCCACCGGGACCGCATCGCGTCCTACTTCGTGCGGCGCGTCGTGCCCAACGGCGCGTCGATCTTCAGCCACAAGGTCGGTTTGAGGGATTTAGTTATTGTGGAGAAGGGGGGTTTGCGCATGGTGAGCTACAAGGCGGGCAGCGCGAACGGCCGCGACAGCGCCAAGAACAGGACTGTGATCAAGGTCGTCGGCGAGAACGAGATGCTCGGGCTTGTGGAACTCGTGCAGAACGTGGAGCAGGAGGCTGACGAGGCCACGGGCAGGATGCCGACGGACGTGCTCGCGCAGGGCAAGACGTACCTCCTCGTGCTGAGCCAGGACAAGTACATCAAGGAGATGATGGCAAAGCGCGACTCCGACGTCGCCTGCGGGCTCTTCTGCGACAACCTGCTAAACCTGACCAAGGACAAGGTCCTCGCGTGGCTCAACAAGGTGAGCGTGCTCCAGTCGCTCGGCGAGCCCGCGCTCCGGAAGCTCGCGGACGTGGCCCAC